ATCAGATTTCATTTTAGATGTACAGAACGTACTCAGAGAAGAATGATTTGGTTCCTAAAATATCATAAATCAATTTAAACTACAAAGGCTTGAATCTCGAAGTCATAGACTCATCGTTGTAATATCAGGAAAGATCATAAGCACTGTTAGTTGCGATAAACATTTATTATCTGCAATTGAAGAAAGGCTGTGTATTTTCGCAGCAGTAACATTATACAGAAAATATGTAAAGATTCATATAAGGATGGTACAGGAAATATATAAGGAATGTCAGACCCTGCAAGTTACATTTAAGTGTAGAAAAATACAAATGCGGTAGGTGCACCCAACTTTCGAACGGTAGAGCATATACTTACACAGGGTGGTACTTTGAACATAACGTAGTTACAATATTTTATAGAAAGGGAATTTTTAATGTGTTTTAAGTTTTTTTAATTTGAAAATGTTAAATAAATGAACACTGATTTTATGCGCATCCTATGGTGGTGGTCACTTACGAAAGCAATCGTTATAACTTTCTAATAAAGACGCACATATTCAAACAGTATGTAATATTCAAGCTAACTTATTAAATACATTTCGTGTCTTAAGAAAATTAGGGAGAGGTTCTGATCTAGACAGTCCAAAATGATTAACTTTGTAATTTTTTTGTAAAGAAATGAAGAAAGGTATCTGTGTAAAATTTGTTGTGCTATACTTATTAGTAATTAGAACTAGAATTGAAATATATTTTTATTTACAAAACAAGAATTTGATTTTCACCATCCAAGAAAGTTTTCATTAACATAATTTGACAGATAAAATACATTACTGTTGTTAAACATCAGAAACAAATATTGTTTACAAAATTTACATTAGGTTTACCGTAAATACAGTGCAAACAGTTGAAAATTTGCCACACGATGCACTTTCTTATGAAATATCTTATGTCTAATTATTTAGACATTTGTTTTCAATTTATTCTTTTGTTGTTTTATTATTTTTGAGAAAAACGTTAATTTTGGAATTTTTTCTGAAACTAGGTTAATCTGCTCAGAAAAAACTATCTACTTTCATAAATCAAAGGTTCAAATATAATTCCTTTATTGGTGTGAGAGATCGTGTGCGTCAGGTTCGAGAAAGTTCAATTTAAAGTTTGTAGTGACAATTTTTCATCCCACGCACCGTCAAATTTGAGTTTTGAATTATTCATCAAGTGGATGCAAAATGGGTAGAAAAAAAAGTTTTGATTTTTTAACCTTCTAGAACAGTGATAAGCAGTCCGTTGCCCGTTAATTATGTATTTATTTGCTGTCCCCGAAGCTGTTTGTGCAATTCACTTCAATTTGCTAGTGTGACAAATTTTTACGTTTAGCATGATATATAAAATAATTTTCAAAAAGAGCATATGGTTTCAGTAACGATAATATAATGAAAAAAATGGTATCGGCGGTAGCGACTTGTAAACTTTCAGAAAATAAAATAAAATAAAAATTTATTCATTGTTACCTGCGTTGAAAATAAAATATTTCACCCTGTAATATTAACAATTTTTGAATTAATAAATTAGGCTCTCTAAGATTGTGGTTACAGCTTATCACTGTTCGAAAGTGAAACCTTGTATGCTTTGATGGAGAAATGAGGCAAAAAATATTTTTGTTTGCTTCATTTGGTTTTAGTATATTGAGAGAAGAACTACAATCAATTAAATTATAAGTTTATTTCAAAATCAAGGACAGATTATGTTTCACTAATAAAGACAAAAACATTATTTTCTCGGGAAGTAATATAGATATTGTACGTGTCTTAATATCGAACATGAATTTTGTTTTCGTCATGTTATAATGTAAACTATCAAACAAGACCAATGTCTAAAATACATAGGGGACAGCGGGGTAATTCCGGCTACATAAGCAAGAAATACTATAAAATTTGAACAAGTCACACATTTGTTAATTTTTTGATATTAATTAACAGCTTGAAGTGTCCAGTTTGTATAAGTATGGTCGAGAAGGCATAAATTTACGTTGTAATAAAATTAGAAACAAAAAACGAAAAGAGGTCATTTGGCTGGAATTACCCTCCTAGTGGGGTAATTCCGGCCATTGTTTTTTCTTTATAAAAGAGTTAAGAAAACTGTTAAATTAATAAAAAATTTTATTATTTTTTGTTTTAAAATTAAAACAGTAGTTAGTAGTAGTTTCACTTTTTTTTGCTAACTGGATATCTTGGTTTCCTTCCAATTTTTGTAGCAACATTAGAACCTAGAAATATTTTAATTTGTAAAACCATAACTTAAAATAATATAAATATGATGAAAATGATAACTACTGTAAATGTAATGTAAATATAAACTATATACCTTTTTTAATTCTTTGCAATGTTAAAAGCTGGCTGGAATTACCCCATACCTCATGTTCAGATATTTGAAGTAATAGACTGAATTGAATTTACATATCACAAAAAACCAAATGTGACTTTGAAAGTAGAAACATTTCTCGAAATGTCTGAAGACATTTATATCGATTCCAAGCACTAATTTACCTTGCTTAAAAATTGGCCACCGTTATAAGGTTACGTTGCAAAATGAACATTCAGGGATTTGTTTAAAATAAAAGACTGCTATAGTCACAAAAATGATGAATATTAACTAGCCGCATCATTAACAAGTGGCAGTACCATACAGAGTCAAATCAGGCGTTTTTTATTTTAAAAAATTAAAGTGGCCGGAATTACCCCGCTTTCCCCTACATTCCAATTTCGATCAAATTTTTAGTATGTACACTGCCGCTCAAAAGTATGAGGACACCCTATAACACGGAATAACTTTTTTAAAATTGGGCCAAACGACTTGAGTTTTTTTTTTTTAGAAGTTAGAAAGAATAGTTTACTAGATGACGTGTGAAAAAATTATGAAAAAACTGCTATTAGTCGGAATCGCGAAGAAAATAGCGAAGGTCACTATTTACAACTTTTTTATCTAGGCTTGTGATGAAAATTTAAAACATACGTTTTGTAGATCTATGTCAATTATACACGCGCTGAAAATTTCATCGAAATCGGTTAATGTTGCTATGAGCTATAAACGGTTAAAGATGGTGAAAATCGCACTATTTCCACGACTGTCGGCCTAGAACTGTAATAAATCTGAAGATTCTTACATCTTTCGATGCCTATCGCTTGTTTCTCCATCCATAAAATTTTTTTCAAAATTTTTTGTACCAGTCATCTAGTAAACTAATCCTTCTAACTTCTAAAAAAAACTGAAGTCGCTTGGTTGTACTTTAAAAAAGTTATTCTGTTTTAAAGGGGGTAAGAACACTTCTATGACCCACTGTATATCTGATGATATTGAGACTGTACATTTTAAAAACAACACGAATTTTATACGGAGACTAATACAAATGCTAACGCAAGACTAATAAAGTAGCGTCATATTACATTTTCCAAAATTTTTTAATCTCAGCTGTGATAGGGTTAAAGTACATTTATGAATTTAGTATATAGAGCGTTAGGACAGTTTTGTCATACAGTTACGTCTGTTATTATTTTTCGAAGTACTTCATTTTCCACATTTATTTATTTTCATTTACATACGTCGTTCCATGTAACAATTCACTGATCTTCGCCTGCTAAACGATGTCCTTGTAACTAACTTTCGTCGTGCAAAAATTGAATTCAAAGTCACAAGGGTAATGAAAATTCTAAACTATGTGGGAGACGTTCTAGTAATTTTAAATCTCAATTTTCTAAAAAACGCTGCTTGATATGTGCGTCAATATGTGCGTTATTCGTTCATTTCATGTTTTCTAAAAAAATTCGTATATTACCTACAGGGTGTCCCGTAACTCCTCGAACACCCGGAAATGGGGGGTTGCTGGGGTGACTGAACAACTTTTTCCTTTACCAAAATGTTGTTTGAAGCTTCATTTTTGAATTATTAACGAAAAACACTGGCCAATCAGAGCGCGCGTAGAGCTCGCGCTCAGGGACGGAGAACAGAGGCTCGCCCGCGCGCGATCAAACAAATGCGTACGCGTCACTTCTCGGTTATCGATCGCTGTCAAAGAAATTTGACTTTGCACCGCTATTTTTATAAGGCTTAGAGAAATGGGTTTTTGCCGTCATTCCGACATTTGTATAAATTTTTGAAAAAACTGCAATTAGTCGGAATCGTGAAGAAAATAGCGAAGGTCTGAAAATAGCCTCTGTTCTCCGCCCCTGAGCGCGGGCTCTACGCGCGCTGTAATTGGCCAGTGTTTTTCGTTAATAATTCAAAAACGAAGCTTCAAACTGTATTTTGTAAAAGGAAAAAGTTGTTCAGAGTCACCCTAGCAACCCCCCATTTCCGGGTGTTCGAGGAGTTACGGGACACCCTGTATATAGGGTCAACCACATAAAGTGTTACAAACTGTTTTTTTTTTTTTTTTTTTTTCTTCGAAACTACTGTAGATATCATCTCGAATTTTTTTTTTTTACATTAGATGTGACAGGGGATAATAATATTTCAAATAATTCTTAACCTAAAATACCTTTCTTTCCATACGTTTCGACACCTTCCCAAAGTTTTTCTTCAGAAAAATATTCATAGTCATAACTCTTTAACTACACAGAATAAAAGCATATGTTTCAAGTAAATGTTATGGTGTTCGATAATAGCTATCCGAATAACTAAAAATTAATAGGCCGTTCCATTTTAAAAAAATGAGAGGGGC